CTGCTATGCAGGAATGAGGTGGACTGGAGCAGGGTGGTGTCTGCTCCAGTCCGCCCACTTTGCTCGCACGTAGTAGCAATGGTGCCTGCCTGGCCACCTGCCTGGTGCACCATGCCACTTTGTGTCCCCACTGGATTCTGCTTCAGGACTTTTGGCCAATTAGCTGGGACTGGACTATGGAAGCTGGGACTGCCCCAGTTTGCCTAGGATGTAAGGTCACTCTACCTATGGTTCCTTCTGGGTGGATGAGGTACAAACAGTTTTCTGTCATATTTAAGAAGCTAACATTATTCTTCCTGACTTTGACCCAGTCCTGGGAGTTGAGGTTTGCAAACTTTTCATGAAGCAGGGGTTCTAGCCAGTTGATTAGGTTCACAGGCAAGGCAAAGCAAGCTGGACTTCCTTGGTAGGACCCTCCCATTTGCGTATGTGTTGTGTAGCCATGAGGCTTCTGAAAAGCTCTGAAGATACCTTCAAGGTACGCTCTTGTTAACTTGGTGCAGGAGTGGCTTCTCCTTTTCCATTCTGGAGCCTCCCAAATGTTTGTCTTCTATGTGCTGCTCAGGCTGAAAGACAGAAAGAAGCCATGTTGGGTCAAATAGATATTTTAAGACATTTCCTAACACTTCTCCTATTTCTGGACAGGCTATTTGCCAGTGTGAGCCATAGACATTTCTGAAAGCAAATGCACTTACCATTATGTATTTTGCCTGCTGTTCTTATCAGTCCTTCAGACCTTCAGTCCCAAAAACAAGCAGAAATGGCATAACAAACTATGGCCTCATCCGGCAGCACTTTCATAAGGGGTGTATTACTCAATTTCAAGAAAGAGATGAATGGCACCTTTGTGCATCACATTACAGACCATTCCATAGTGCAGGAGTAACCCTCTCTGACTTGTTCTTTCTGCCTCATATTGAAGACCTTCCACCACAAGCCAAAAAGAATGGTGCAGGTGAAAAAATCTGAGAAGAGCAAGTCTGGCAGATCAGTCATGGAGGAGAGACAGCATCAAATGTTGAAGCAAAGGCACTAGCAGCTACTGGGGAAGGAAGTGGTAAAAACTGGTGGAAGCATGAACATTTCTTTTGGGAGATGGAGCAACTGAACATAAGATGGACCAACGGGTATTTCAACAACTGTACTTGGCTGTACTGCACAGAGGTGAATGTGTTATGCAAATGGCATAAATACCAGCTTTAGCTTAGGTAAATAACATGGAGGTAGACTTTTACCTATTGCCTTAATCTTGTGTATTATCTTGATGTATTTTCTTGAGTTTTGCACTGCCTTAAGAAACTCCATTTTGTATTGTTCTGTAGCTTGACATAAGTGCTGTACCTTTCATTCCTGTGTATGCTGCATGGGTAAGAGTGTGTTTGTGGAAAAGGAAAACACCACGTGGCGACTGGTTGAAGAATGCAGACAGATAAAAGACCAAAACAAAAAGAAACCGCCCCAGAACAGCGAGAAAACAACTTCAAACAACCTTCGAGGAGGAACACAGTGATAACACAGCAGAAGCCTAGAGGACTGGATGAATTGACAAGACTATAAAGATGGGGTGAGACGTGGATTTTGGGCCTTGTTCTGTATAACATTCTGGAGTACCAGTTCACCTGATGAGATGGACCAACAGAAGCCTGGCTTCTACTCCTGATCAACTTAGCTGCCACTAGGTTGACTCGAGCACCGATGAGACTGGTAACATATACCAGTGCAGAACAGAAATTGGGGTAGGTGTGTGTGTGTGTACACTAAGCGCTTAATCAATAAACGCGACATCTTGCCTTGTCCCCTCTTACAAAGGTCTTGCTCTTTATTTTCAGCTAATTGGTTAACAAATGCTCACTAGGCCCAAGAATTTTACACACACTTACCCAGACTCATGAGGCTAGTCAGAGGTGAAGCCTTCTTCCCATGGGAGGGAAGAAGGAAACTTACCCTCAATCTACATTTTTATTGCACTGCACCACACTTTTTACAGGAGAGCTGGGGTAGAAAAGATAATGTGGGGCTAAAAGGCACCAAGTATTATTATTGCTAAATACGCCTTCTGCACTTTTGGTCATTGTTTTAGGTCATTGCTTCAGTGGTTCTTCTCCATCTTGTCTATGGCTTATTTGGTTGGTTGCCATCCTTTTGTTGGTATACTGCATTTTCTCTCATATATGTCCCTGAATATAATGCACCCTCTACTTCAAGGAAAGAAAAAAATCTTTCCTTGGAGCATAGGTAAGTACCTGAGGTCTGGGGTTTCCAGGGCTTGGGAGCTGGAGGCCAGGGCTGGGGGCCTCACATGGGAGCTGGAATCATAGAAGTATCATAGAAGTAGGGTTGGAAGGGACCTTGTAGATCTTCAAGTCTGACCCCCTGCATTGGCCCCAACTGTGTGGGCTTGTCTGGTCCAGCCATGCCAGTGCTAGACCTGCATGGCAGGACCCAATCTGGTTACAGCAGAGCTGGGACTACATGGTGTTGTCCAATCTGGACACAGTGGGGTTAGGTGCTGTACCCAATCCAGTCATGGTGGCACTGGGGTTTATGCTGCAGGGCTGGGGCCTGTATAGCAGGCCAAGCTGATCTGACTGAAGAGGGCTGGGAGCCATGTGACAGGACATGATCTGGCAATTGCAGGGCAGAGCCCAATCCACCCACAGTGGTGCTGAGTCCAACCCAGCACACAGCCCTGGAGCCAGCATGTTGTCCCAGAATACATGCAACAGGTCCAACCTGGCACGTGACTCCAGAGATAGGTGCAGAATCCAGCTGCAGGCCACTCCTGAGTGCTAGCCCAATTTGGTATGATTTTGGAGAGGGCTGTTTCCCAGGGGCAAGGCATTTGGTGGCAGGGGACACAGCAATTAATACTTCTGCTACTCTTCTTCCTGCCCAAATGTCCAGACCCATGAGGAGCTTTTGGCTCACATAGAATGTGGACTGCATTTTCCCCAGATGGTTTTCAGGGAAAAAATGTGAGAGCTGTGTGTGAGAAATTATGGTATTTCTTAGTTCAGTGGCACCTTTTGCTAAATTTACCTATTGTTTTCATTTCATTCTACATGCAGTCTATTTGTAGTAGTCTATTGTACTCATTATGAAGTTGAATTTGGTAGATTGTACATTTTTTGTGCTCAGATACAATGTGCCTCATATTCAGATTAACTTTGCACCTCTTATTCTTCATGTTTTATTTCCCTTTTGATTAATCTTAGTTTATAGCTCTTTACTAAAGCTTTGTATTACTAATGTTAGTTTATTAAATAAGTTCCATGCTAGCTATAGTGCATGTATGTATTCAGTGTTCTGGTCTAAGGGTCTCTCAATAAGATTTCTTGAAGCAGTAAAGCAAATAATCAGACTCCTAGGATATAAAAAGCTTTCTTAGGCTATGTAGAACTATGCCTCACAACTAAGTGGCTAGATGAAATCACCATAGAAGGCACTTAAAGAAGTCTCACCTATCCAACCACCTTGAATAAGCTTTCAGAAGCTAAGTAGAATCGTGGTTGGTGACATTCAATGATGCACCATTGTACCTCCCATAAAGGCCATTTGGGACAAATGGATCAATGAATCTTAAAAATGCACCCAGGAAGAGTCCTGATGTTCCCCCTGAAACTTCCTGAAGCAACATGGATTCAAAGGGTTAGCTGAAAAAAGTAATTTATTTATAAATGGCTTTGGCTGAGAGCAGGCAGCAGTGCCCTCCACATAATGACAGTAAGGTACATGAGAAGTTTAGGAAGCTAAGTCCCAGCAACAAGACATCTGTGTATGGTGTGGCAGGCCTCTGTGAATGGGCACACTTCTCTGCAGAGTGAAATGACAGCTTTGGAGAGAGGAGAGTTTTAATACTCACCTTGGTCCTCAGCATTTCTTGTCTTCAGCACTTAGTAACAGCACTAGGGGGCTCCCTCTTCCACATGTGCAGTGTTTTGGATCTCAGTCTGAAGTGCCTTGGAGTATGACCTATATAGCACAAAGTTATGCTATACGGACATACCCCAAAGAAGCACTATGTATATTACCTCTTAAATTGGAAGTCATATAACCATGGCATCTTGCCTGGACTATTTCAACCTCTTGAGATGCAAGGTTAATTACCTTGGGTACAGTGCTACACTTAACATGGCTATATGCCTTTTGGTTCCATAGCTACCATGCACAGAACTGGGTTGTGATACCTCTGCATGGTGCTGACTTGCACTATACAGGTATACCCTAACTCTTCCCATGCATTATATTGAGAGTCTAAGAAAATGCTAAGCATCTAAGAGACTGGGAGTCTAAGAATCTAGTGCCTATGAGACACTAGATTCCAAAGGCCAAGTCCCACTTTCAATCTAGCCTAAGGTGATCATTACTCCAGACATGCTTAAGATCACCCCCAAGTTGACCCAACTATAAAAGTATACATGGTTGTTTGGCTTGCAGTTGGAAAAAGCTGTATGTGATGATAGCCACAGGACTGTCTTACATGCTGTTAGCTACAGAAACTGATGTGCTTTCTCCACACTAGCCTCATAGGCGGCTTGCTTCAGGTGGACTTTTAACTTAGTATCTAATATAGTTGATCTCCTTTTCAATTGTGTTGGTAGAGTGTTTCGTGGGAAATTTCATCCTTATGTTTGGGGTGAATGTCATATGCTCAGATACTATGGTAAAGGATGTGATATGAACACCAGTAAAAAGTCTATTGATAGAAAATCTATTAGATTATATAACAGAATTCTAGCAAGGAAAACCCCATAACTTAAACCTGCCTGCACTTGGTATGAAAAAGAGAAACTGACCCCAAGCAGTAATATTAGATTAACGAATGACCCTGCATGAGAATATGACTGACCTGTATATTATTCCTCAGAGTGAAAGAAAATGAAGCAGAAAGTCAGCATTTAATTCAGCAGATATGCGTCATAGTAACTGGAATACTAAATGCACATATACTGTCTAGTTTTCTGAATAACAAGAAAGTTAAAGTGTTCACTATTATTTTATTATTGTTATTACTGGGATGCTCTAGGGGGATCCAATCATGAAGTAGGACCATAGAGTGATTGGTACTGTACATACACACACAAAAAGAATGGCCTCTTGCCTAAAAAGTTTGTAATATAAGTCTAAGATGAAAGATACCAGGTGGACAAAAAGACACAGGAGCACAAAGTAATAATAAAATACTGGTCAGAATAATATGCAACCATTAATGTGTAACTACTGTTGTTTTTTGTAGGCATCACATAGTGGAGAGTTTTAAAAACAATCTGAACAAGACAATGAGGTGTAAAAGGAAAACTTCCTCCAAGGGAGACAGGATGGCATGGGAGGAACCATGAAGGTACTTTTGTTTGAAATCATGGACTGTCAAGTGCTGGAAAACAGTCAACCTCCTGACAGTGTAGATAGAATAAATAGAATAAAAACAAGCCTTAAAAGTTAAGATGTGTAGTTATTTGATGAAGTGGAAAATGAAGAGAACTTGAAAGATGCAAAAAGCAGGGTGATGTGCTCAAAGTAAGAAACCAGAAAATAATCTTTGCAGCAGTGAAGACTGATGTGAATGGACCAGAAGGAATTTGTCAAATCTGGAGGACACGCACTGAATTAAGAATCATCTACTTTGAAAGGATTTTTATAAAAACAGTTTGGGGTTTTACATTTTAATAAAGGACTATAAAGACAAGTTTTGTTTTTAATACAAAATATATTAATGAAGTTTTTTTAAACCTTTGAGGAGGGGTTATAATGATAAATTTTTCAAAAGTTGAAATGAGATGCCAAGTTGGTTTTAGAAATGAGTGAAGAATCTTTAGAAGTATCAGGAGTAATACATTCTGCCTTTCTGTGTAACTGTGTAAGAAGAGAAACATAAATCTATACGTAAGAAGACAGAATTTATTTTCAAGTCCTCCAATTTATTCCTCAGAATTCATCTGGTGAGAGTGGATTTACAAATAATAAAAAATGGGGCCAGACTCACAACTGCTGTAAACTGGTGTAGTTCCATACATGTAATGGAGCTAGGCCAATTTACATCAGCTGAAAGTCTAGGCCACTTTTCTTCAACGTCTTTCAGCACAGATGAGGTATGGCTGTGGCTGTAATGTCATTCCCAATCTTGGTTTGAGATCTGGAATCAAATTATGTGGAAAATGAAGGTGAAACCGTTGAAGTAATGAAGTGAAAAACAAATACATTTCCATTCTGGCCAGCTGTTCCCCAAGACAGTGTCTTCTTCCTGAATAGGGAAAAATTAGGCAAATTATATTTTAAAAATTAAATTAATCAATTTTCACTTATACTTCAGAGAATAAGTATCTCCTGTGTCTAGTCTAAATGGAGCCCTTTGGACATAATTATTCTGTTCCCTAGGAAAGGACAGGTGGTTGATATAGTAAAAGGCATGTTTTAAAAAGATCTGTACTTTTTTAAAACACAAGCTTTACCAGTTCTCATTCAGTTGTCTCTATTTAGGCAAAAGCTGTAAAGGTGAAAAGAATTTTGCAGAACACAAAAGAATTGTTTGTGTAGTGCAGTTCTAGGCTAAAACATTCTGGAAAATGACATTGAAGTTTTTCATGTTTGTCTCAGTAATTCCACATTGCCTATGTAAAAGTCTATTGACAAGCATTATTACTTGGCTATTATTCATAGATATTAGTGGAAGGATTTAAATAGGACAGGCTGATGGCTTTATATATTAAATCCCATTTCATGTATAACGGGCAGTATGAAATAAAGGGACTTGTGGAAAAAAGTAGATAAAGGACAATGAAATCTGGCATAGCAGATGGAACAGAGGCAAAAGGCAATAAAATACATGAGTGTGTACATAATAAGATGTTAAGCTAAGTAAGAAGCTATCCATAAAAAGGGACTTGGGGAGCTAAGAATATGTCTACATAGCATAATGCAGGACTGCATAGGGACATGAGCTTGCTTGGGTACCAGTTAGTGCAGCACTCAGTGCAAGTTAACTAGCAGATGAGACAAGTACCATGCTAAATGGATAGACTGCTTCCAATGCTTCAGACTGCAGGCATCTCCAGAAGTACTCAGGTTTTCTGCTATGTAGGCATCGTACAAAGTAGACACCTGACCCCTCAAGAGAAATCCAGAACTGTGAATAAGGTGCCTAGACCCCCCTAAATAGTGCATAGAGAAATTTAGGGGCATCCGAATGGAATCCGTCAGCTTCCTGAATAGGGAGCCACCTATAATTACTACTTTCAATGTGCAGCCTCTTAAAGCTAACCACGAGGAAATACTGGGGGCATCTACACATGCAATTAGTGCAACACAATAAACTCTGGCATAATTTGTACTGGAGTTTATTGCTCCCAGGTGCAGAGTTTACATGTGTGCCCAGGACTGCAGTACACTGAGCTGGGGTAGCACAGCCACAGCTGGCAGGCGGCCCCAGGGGTCAGCTTGTCAGCCCAGAGCTACTCCACCCTGGCTCAACACTGTGGAGGGACTCACTGGGGCATAAGGGTGCTACGGTGCAGGACTAGCTGTCAAGCAGCCCCCGTGCTGTATCCCCCTTGTGCCCCAGCCAGCCCTGGTCACTGCCTACACATGTACTGCTGCACAGAAAATAACTCTGCTGTAAGATAGTACTGGTCAGGCAGTGTTATGGCAGAGTTAATTAATGAGTTAGTTAATTTACTCCAGCCTAATAGCTCCACATGTGTAGACAGAGATGCTTTACTGCAGAGCTAATCAGTCTACTGTGCAGTAAGCATCTCATGTAGATGCCCCCACTAAGTACATGAATGTCTATGTACTATGTGACTGTACAGCTGTCACTCACGTCTATAGGAGGCATCTCTGCCTGCTTGACCCACAATCCTCTCCTGATGGTAGGCTGCTTACAGTCTTTCTTCCAAAAACAGAACAGGAGGCCTATCTTTTGAAAGGGACTGGGAATAGTACCTGGGCTTTACTGCTTACTCAGAACCTGGAAGATGCAGGCTTAATTTCCCCCTTTACCTGCTGGAATTCTACCCTACGTGTCCATCTCCCTGAAAATCCCCTGAATTGAGGCTGTTCAGAGGGAGTACTCTCTTACCTTCTTGGTGAAGCAAGAATGTGGTACAGGAAAGAATGCAAGAGTCATTAGGGAAGAGAGCACAGGGAAAGCAAGTGTATGCATGACTAGCCAAGTGGTTAAGGAACTTTCCAAGCAAAGGGGAGACCTGGATTCCAGTCCCCATTCCAGGACTCGTGCATCTTATCCAGTGACTGTTTTCAATAAAATGTCTATGGCGTTCAGGCATCTCCAAGGTCAGGCAGCAGTTGAACAGGGATGTTCATGACTATAAATTTTTAGACGTACACCGATATATCGGTCCATATGGTATCAACACCAATAAAAGGAAAGTTGACATTATTGGCAAGCAGCTTTTTTTGGTCGATGTCAGTGATGAATGCCCTGTGCATGTTGTAAATGCAGCCCCACACACCAACGAGACCCAGCACACAGAACTGTCACCCAACCTGTATGACTCCCCATGCATCCAGAAATTGAATGGCAGGGGAAAAGTGGCAGCATTAATTATTTCACAGCAATTAACACTGCTACTGATCTGCTGCAACAAAAATTCTGGACCATGGGAAGCCCAACCATGGGCCAGAAGTTGAGCACCACTATTTTAGATGATTCAGCTGTCAAACTTATATAAAACAATGGAATGAGCTGGATAAAATCCTCAGATTAATAAAATGTCCACCTATGTATGTAGGAGACAGCATTACGTAATTTCTAGTACACTGTATTTATTTTTAAAATAGCTATTTCATCAGAAATGTAACTTTTACAACATCCTATAATGGATATATAGTATTGATATTTACCCTGTTGTATCTAGATTTATTAAATAGGCATAAGCTCTTACCTAGTGAAAAAGGAACAAACGCATCTTTCTTGATAAACTGCCCATTGCTGTCCAAAAACCTCTCAGGATAAAACACTTCTGGGTTAGTCCAATATTTTTCATCAAAGTGCACGGAATAGAGGTTTGTAATTACTGTAGTGTCTTGAGGAATAGAATAACCACGCACAACTGTATCCTTAGAGGTTGCATGGAAAATACCTAGTGGAACTATATTACAGAATCTTAAAATTTCATGTAGAACTGCCTCGGTGTAAGGCATTTTGCATTTCTCTTTTAGAGAAGGTGTTTTGTTTGGACCCACGATTAAATCAATTTCTTTATGAACTTGCCCTGTTAGAGAAAAAACCTTTAGTTTATTGCAAAATATTCTGAAATTCATAAAATAAAGAATATATACTTTATTTAAAATTAAACATGAAATATTTTACTAAATAATCCTGTATTTTTGTATGCTTGTGTGATTTATATTTTCAATCTTTATTTTTTTCTTTATTCTCCTGTTCATGGTAATTCTTCCTTATTCATATATATCACAACAAGCTGCACTAACAATTATTTTTCAATGACATGGAATCCTACTTTCACTTCTGTATTTTTCTTTGGTCAATACATTCCTTATTTCCAGGAGCCAACTGGAACTAGGGTAACAAGTTTAAGATTGCAGATAGTAAAGATGAACTACATTAAATTCAAATACATTTATTAGATGATGATTAACTTCTTTGCTCATATTCTATATCAACTTATATCTGAAAGATGAGTAAAATTCAATTTAAATGCATAAAAACAACATAGAGAAGTAGGGCTGGAAGGGGCCTTGGGAAGTAATTTAATCCACCTGCCTGCCTGAAGTAGGTTCATCCCTATTCAAACCATCCTATACAACTCTATTGTCTAACCTCTTAGCAGAACTACACAAGTCAACCCTGACACAACACAAGATATAACACCTGAATCTGCCACAAGTAAAGCAGGGGGACCACAGTGGTGAATGTCCGGCTGCTGCAAGAACTGTTAAAATATGCTCAAGACACCCCAGGAAGCAGGCCATGCCCCTTACTACAGAAGGAGGCGATACCAACCTGAACAGGGGGTTAAATTCCTTCCTGGCGATTTTTTCGACCCTGAGTGGAGTAGTGAGAGGCAGCCAGGAACCTCTTGCACTGGCACATCCCAGTAATATCCCCAAACCTGGCTGCAGCTAATACCCAATGCCTTTGAGAAGGCTTTAGAAAAACCCTGACAAATGTAGCACCAAAGGGAAAAAATGCCACCCTTCCCCTGGTAACCCCACCCTGGCTCCCGTAGCAACTAGCAAAGCCCAGAAACATAGGAAATACCCATAATAAAATATAAGCATAGCTACACCTATATCATGTCCAACCTCTTGTCAAGCACCTCCACTGCTGGAAAGTCCACAACTTCCCTAGGCAGTCTATTCCACTGCCTCAGTGTTCTAGCAGTGAACAAGATTTTCCTGAAATCCAATCTAAACGTACTTTGATGCGATTTCAAGCCATTGGTCCATGTCCTACTCTCTGCAGCAAGAGAGAAAAGATGGTTCCCCCTCTTCTTCATGGTGGCCTTTCAGGTATTTGAAGACTGCTATCATGCCCCTCTTAAGCGCCTTTTCTGCAAGCTGAACATGCCTATTTCCTTCATCCTTTGTTCATATGATTTGCCTTCCACACCCTTCATCATTTTCATTGCCCACCTCTGGACCTTCTCTAACTCCTCCATGTCCATTTTAAAATGTAGAGCCCAAAACTGCACACAATAGTCTACTGCCAAGTAGAGAGGCATTATCACTTCCCATGCCTTGCATTTAATGCTTGTACTGAAGCATCCGAAAACCACTTTTGCCTTTTGTGCAGCTGCATCACACTACACACGCATACCAAGTCTGTGACCTACCAAGACTCTCAGATCCTTCTATGTAGTGCTGCTCCCCAGATGGTGTCACCCATTTTGTATCTGTATTTTTGATTATTCCTCCTTAGGTGAAGCACCTTGCATTTGTCAGCACTGAGCTTCATCCTATTAGCTTCAGCTTAGCTTTCTAGTATGTCAAGATACTTCCAAATTGCGCTGCTGTCTTCCATGCTTGCAATCCTTCCCAGTTTAATGTTTTCTGCAAGCTCACTCAAGCAGCTTTCTATGCCAGCACTTGTATCGTTAATAAACATGGTGACATGGGTACTGGGCCTGGGAAAGATTCCTGTGGGACTCCACTTAACCTCCTGCTATTCTGACATTTATAATTATCCTTTGTGATAGTGGCTATTGAGATGGTTATCTATCCACCTAGCCTGATTTCTCCAATTTATTTATGAGAAGGCCCAGTGGGACCTTGTCAAAAGCCTTGATGATGTCCAGATAGGCTATATCTACAACATTCCCTTTGTCTGCCTAGCCACTTTGCCAAAGAAGATCAAGTTTGTTTGGCCTGACTTGTTTGACTAGAAGAAGACCTAATTCTTAAAGAGATCTTCCCAGGACCATCCATCCTAGCCTTCAAACAAGCACTGAACCTCTCCAACATGATCACTAGAAACAAACTTTCTACAGCCCAAGACGCACCGAATGGATCCAGACCATACCATGACAAGAAATGTAAAACCTGCCAACATATCTCCACCACCCCCACAATTACTACACCCCACGACAGAACCATCATCATTCCTGGGTCTTACACTTGCACCTCCAGAAATGTTATATATCTCATCCAGTGCACCAAATGCCCTGATGGAAAATATGTTGGAAAAACCGAACAACAACTCTGTACCAGAATGAACACGCACTGCAAATCTATCAACGACAAGAATACCCAACTACCTGTGGGGGGCACACTTCTCATAGGACAATCATTCCCTCTCTGATCTCTCAGTTCTAATCCTCAAAGAGAATTTACAAAACCCCTTTCGCAGGCGAGCCTATGAACTTCAATCTGCTGGATACAAAAAAATCATGGATTAAATATAAATGTTGGATTTATGGCACATTATATCCTGCCTAACACCTGATACCCCACGTAACCTCTCTGCTATGTACCAGCTATATTCTTATCACCAGGTCTACATTCCCCTTCCCCTCACTCCCCCCACCTGTTTCTCACCTACTGACTGCCTCAATTTGCATGTTCACTGACTGGCATTCTCACGTGCATATGGGCCTCTGGCTTCTATTCTATTCCATCCAGGAAGAACACAGACCAACTGCAGATGCTTCTTCAGCCTGATGAAGGGTGTTTGTACCTGAAAGCTTGCAAAGGAGAATTTTTCCATCTATTTGAGTTTGCCTAATGAAAGATATTGTAATTTACCCAAAGAACTTTGTCTGCCTATGTCCTTAAGCCAACACGGCTACAACCTATACCCCTTTAACCTAATTTAAAATTGCTTTTAATCAATGAAAAAAACTACCTTAAATGGAAAACATTGCATTTAAAACTGATGTCTTAAACAAAGGAAGGATAGTTTGTATTTAGTGAATGGAACTTGCCTGTCTATGATTACCAGGTCCTTCAAGGTTTTATAATGAATAGAACTCATTCTTTCATACCTTGTTTCTAGTCATACAGTGGAAGAACAAACCAAGTTTTGCTGCTTTTTCAACTTCCAATTTGTTTCTCAACTTGGAATGAATCCATCATTTGACTGAACTAGATGAATAAGCTGAAATGAAGAAAATATGCTCTCTGCATCTACTGAAAAGGCTACTGCTGTCTAAACAAGTTTCAGCATTTCAACAAACTCTAGTTTTCGTGCTGGCCAGTGAATTTCACCAGGTCAGCGATCTAACTTTCTTTAAAACATATACCTCTTGATAAATTTTGTTACTTACTGTAAGTTAACAGAATAGATTATATAAAGTTTAGGAGAGTAAATACTGTTAGCATTCAGACAATTGGATTACATCCTAATACTTCTTCTCTTCTTTTTCGTGCCACATGTCTACAAAACACATACTGCATTCCCAACATAGGGTGGATGTCTGAAGTGAAATTTGGGGAAATCTGTTTAGGTACAAATAATGATCCCTTCAAAAATTATAATGTACGGAAAAGGAGTCACAAATGAGATATGATTTACCAAAAATTCAGTAGCCACTTTTCAGATATTAATATTTGAGCCTGTAGCAGAACTGGGCCCTAGAAGCGACCATACTGCCCCCTAGTGGCCAAACAACAACAGCCTCGCTCTGATTTTAAATACCCTGTCTTCTACTCTTTCCTGCCATGCCTTGATATAATTGTTAGATTATTAAAGGGAAGGTGCCTAAGGGCCCTAGGACCTACGTCCTTCCTTCATCAGCAGATCCCACTAGCCTGAAATCCAGTCCTCCTTCAGGTGGGCCCACCAGGCACATGTATGTCCCTCTGGTAATCATCACCCTATGGGCTATTCATGGCCTCCGATCTCCCCTACAGCTGTGTCCATGCCTCACAGGTGTTATGCATCATCATTCAAGTAGGACACTTGTCCCCAAAGCCACCAGGTCAGTTCAGGCCTTTATCCCTTGTTGGGGCTTTGGCCTTCCTGGCTTCTACCCCTCTGCTGTAGGTGCTCCCTTAGTCAAGACCTACTGTCCTGGACCTGGCTTCTGGGCTCTAGCCCTGTCAACTGTCAGACTCTCTGGGCCTCTGGAGCTTGTGCCTCTCACTCTGGGCCCCTGGCCCCAAAATTCACCCTTCTGGGCTGCTGGCCCCTGTTCTCTGATCTTCTGGGCTGATCTCACACCTCTCAGGCTACAGGTCCTTGACCCTAGTTCATGCCATGCTTGAGCTATGGGTCCTTGACCCTGGTTCATGCCCTGCTTGGGCTAGAGGTCCCTGACCCTTTCTCTGCTACTCTTGATATTTGCCTCACCCTTGGCCAAACTCCAGGCAGTTGCGAGCTATGCAGTCACAAGTGGGACCTCCAAACCTCTCCTGTAGTCCCATACCAATAGTATAAACCACAATGCGATAAGAAAGCCCTCTAGCTGTAACTGAAACCTGTCTCCACAATGAGTCCCAACATAGACTCCAGCTCCCTGGCTATACATAACAAAGCTTCCCCTCTTTGGGTCCAAATATAAAACCTGCTCTGGGTTGCATCCTCCTGTAACAGACAGCCTGAGGATCTCTGTTCCTTAAGAGAAGAAGCAGCCCAGCAAGTGAGCACTGCAAGCTAGGCAGGGTGCAGCAGCTACAGGTTGCTGGGGCAACAGGCCAATGAGGCTGATTAACAGGCACCTGCAGGCAGCCCAGGCAACCTGCTGACTGGAAGGGGGCAAAGCCCTGAAAAGATATAAGCTCAGAGCCTGAGCTGACATGCTAGTCTAGCCCTGCCAGCTGCAGTTGCCCCCTAGCCCTCACTATACCCACATACCCTTCCACACAATATACAAGAGTAAGAGTATGTTTTGAGCTATTATGGAATTGCCTCTAGATACACTACACAAACCCACAAAAATTGGGACTAAAATATTTTCTAAATAAAATTAAGTTATAGTAGATGTTTGATTTTTTTTTTCCAGTTTCAAGATGGCAACTTCCTCCTTCCAAAAGAATTACTTCTGGAGCAAGGGAAGGGACTTCTGGTGGCAAAAGTCAGGGCTCATTAAGCAGCCCACCAGCCAAAATAATTGTCCATCCCTGCCCTAAATATATCATTATCATAGTTCCGATGTCTATTTTACCTGCAGATAAAATAATGTAACCATATACAGTCATATAGGCCACTTATACATGTATGTGTGTCTGCTCCGATGCGCCATAAATCCAGCACATCACAGCAGATTAATTAATTGAGTTTGCAGAGCACACAAACTGACATGCCCAGTGCTGTCACATGCATTTGTATAAGTGTCAAAATGCACATTGGTGCTAAGAAAATGGTAGCGGTGCACTTTGAAACTAAAACAACTTTGAGTTTTAGTTCAAAAGCCCACCGCTGCCATTTTCTCAGTGCCATTTTCTCAGCATTTTGCTGTTTATACAAATACATGTGATGCAGTGTCAGGCACTTTTAAAATCACCCAGTGCTGTCTTACATGCATCTGTGCATGTGTCCATATTTAGCAAGTGATACAATTCAGTAATATGCAAAACTCATTATATTTAGTAAGGATTAATATAGAATACTTCAGCACGCCACCTTGAAAACGCATTCCAAATTCTCAGCATAAAGGTACAATATTAGTTCCTCAAAAAAAGATAAAATTCTTACCTTGTATGTTAGGATAAAGAGCCATAAACAATACGGCCCATCTTAGAACATTTGTGGTGGTTTCTGTGCCAGCTATGATAAGTTCTCCAACAGAGAAAATTAAGTTTTCTGTTGAGTATGTAGATTCAGGATCATTTTTACTTCGATCCATCTCATCTAAATATGCATCAACAAAATGTCGAGGTGACTGAGACTTCCTGTTTTCAGAGACTCGCTCAATGAGGTCATTCAAAAAGTCATAGACCTCAGCTGCATTTTTAAACAACTGTTGATGTTTTCCAAAGGGTAAGATGCCAATCAAGGGGAAAGCATTATATAAGAATACTGCAGCACTAGCAGCTAATTCAATATTTTCACTAAAAATCTCAATCATGTGCTGAAATTCAATGTCTTCATATGTAAACCGTTCTCCAAAAAGTATCAAATTAGTAATGTTTGAGACTGCATTTGTTATTAAGTGCTTAAGATCAAACGGTTTGCCTTTGTATGTATCAATGGCATCAAGAAAAATCATGCATTCTTCTGAGATTTTGTGTTCAAAGGACTTTTGACCATATCCAAAAATACGAAAGCTGTTTACAGCCAACTTGCGATGCTCTGTCCAACCTCTGCCATATTTGGAGTTCAATAACCCTGAAAACATATTTTCAAACAATATTTTATAAAGTTTTCGATTTTTCCTAATTCTATATGTAATAAATCTATGAAATAATAGTACATTTTAAAAGGAAATTCACAATTAAAAGTATCTCTATGGCTTGGTTAATAGTGATGTTTATGTCAGTGCAGAAAGGACCACGTTTATTTTTTTCATGAATAAATGTGGGTACATATCACTTAGTTTCTCAAATCCTTAGGAGAGTTATTGTATTCACATGGAATGACAGAAAAGATTCTTTTTCTCTGAGCTCTATGGGCACACCTTGCAGCTAACCAAGACAACCCTTACTGTCATACTCTTACAGTGAAAAATTACATAGTATATGTGACAATGAACAAAGAAAGGCTTTGGGAAAAAAGCAGAGAGAGAGATCAAAGGGACAGGTTAAAACAAAAACAGAAAACCTTCATCATTGGCAGCCACTAAACCCATTCTTTAAAATTCACAACTTTTTAGAGACTGCAGATAAAAATGTTGTTACATACAGTAATTAAAGCTTATACAGAGTTTATATCCTTGAGGTCCCTACATTCCCTCAATCCTTTAAACCTTCAGTCTTGAGGCCCATTACAAATCTTCCAGGCAAGGAGAATGGATTTTAATTCTCTTATAAATCTATCAGTAGTGTTCTTTAACAGATTAGAGAATAATAAAAGACCTCCTCCTTTCTTTTTCCCTTAAACATAAGCAGAGAATCCACTCCCAATTGGATTCCAATATCAATGGATACCATTAGGTAAAATGGAATGTTAAAATCACTCCTTTCTACAGAAATTAAACATTATTTTGACTGTTTTAAATCTGCAATCCAAACACCCTCTTCAAATGCCTCTCACATCTGTTTTTCCATTTATTTGCCAGGCTATCTAACCTGTAGTTGTCTAGCTCAGTGATGTTCAAGGCACAGCCTACAGGTCAGATTCGGCCCAGAAAGCCAAGTCATCCAACCCATGGGGTTCTCTGGAAATGTGGTGGCGGGAAAGTAGTGGCAATGTTAATTACAGTGGTTCTGGGAGCCTCACAGCAATTAATGTTGCCACTGTTCCCTGGTCATTAAATTTTTGGACCTGTGGGGAGTACTGCTGGCTAGATGACATAGCTGCACATGTTGGATCAGGCCAGCATGAAAGACCAGTTTGTGGTTGTACTTGGAGTGTAGGGTTTGACCTAGTGCACAGAATCTGACCCAGCATGTGGTCCTGGACTTGATGCTTGGGATCAGCTGGCACATCAGACTTGGTAGGCAGGACTGGCCTCATGTGCTGAATCCAGCCTATAAGCCACCTGTCTCCCATATAGCTGGTCCATGTGCCGGAAAGGTTGAGTACCACTAATCTAGAAGATCACCCCATTTGCCCTTTTTGAATGTTGGAAAAACAAGCACTCTTTTGTAATTTCCAAAGTATTCCAGAATCTATTAATAATTAATATCACAGTCCCAGAGATTTCCTTAGCCAACTCTTTTAGGACCTTCAGAGAGCATAGATCTTCATTTAAAGAGAGTTAGTTCTTTACTTTACAGGAGTGTATGTATACAATAGCTATGCCCACAAGTATTCAAAATCTTTTTTTAAGTTACTCCCCTTATTAAAATATATTATTTTATAGCTGTCCCAGTTTCTTCAGAAAGAGATGTAAAATTAACCCAGTCGAGTGACTTCATAAAAATACAAAAAAGCAATACTTGGGAAAAAATAAGTTATGTAAGATGACATATGAATGAAGTAAATGCCACTATAACACCCAAGGCAAAATATTACTGGTATAATATTCAGAGAATCGATATTACAATGATTCTGTGAAAATGCTATTCTTCTTTAATGGAGAATTAATAGCCGTGTACTGTGGCTATACAAGAATAAAATCTTTGATTACAGCAACGCATGGCTTATAGAGTGCTTTAAGAAATAACATTTGCCCTGAAGTCATTATTGTTTCAGATTATTTTTAAGAAACATCTTTATCTATAAGCTGACAAAATAAGTAGCCCTGGTAAAGTAGAAGTATAATTTAAATTATAATTCCTTTCTTGTTAAAAAACAAAAAAGATAAAAGGGAAAATGAAGATTTGATTCCTTAAAAAAACAAGTCAAGCTCAATGTCATGAAACAAGGTTTCCTTCAGCAAGGATAAAATAATTTAGAAGTAAGTAACCTCCCCTCACTCCCTCTCGTCTTTTTCTAAGGCTACCTGGATAGGATTCTCAGTGGCAAAGAAATGGATTGATGGATAATCCAAAGGAAACAGAGATAAAAATAATAAAAAAGCTTATAAATGTGCTGATTATACAATGCGTTCAAGAACTAGACATTTATACTGCAAATAGGCAATTTTTTAAATGCCAAATCAATGCTTTGAGGATATCATTCTTTTATCCTTTTAGTTTATATGCAGTACACATGGCTATCGGACATAACAAACAACCCCAAATAATAAAACTCTAGCAAGAGGACCAGACAAGTTTGTGCTCTCTTATTTGAGAAGCACGTAATACAGGAAAGAAAAACTAGAGAGATTTCTGTACAAAATTTTAATGCAAGATGCAGTAAAAACAATGTAGCTTCTTCTGCATATGCTTGCAATGAGAACGCTGCTGAAGCAAACCCTGCAGATTTGGCAGGGTGTTCAGATACTAGAGTAATGTGTGCCAGTGTTAGTACCAAAGTCAGACAGCACCAGCTGATAGTATATGTGGCCTTCTAGTTGTGATCCATTAGATTATAACTAGATAAATACAATTAGAGGGCTATTCAAATACACTCTTCTTAGGAACAACACTTATTGGCATCAAATAAAATAGCCAGATAGGTGGCTTTTGAAACCTTTAGTCCAGTGTTTCTCAACCACTGGATCACAAGAATATATGAAAGGGTCATGAACAAACTTTAAAAATGGATCAATAAACTTTAGAAATGGCTTCACCTTTTAAAGAAGAAAAACATGGGAAACCGTGGCTTTTCCCTTGCAGGCTGGCAGCATTCCAGGCTGAAAGGGGCTGCTTGGGGTCCCTCTGCCTCACTTACCCACCTCCTGCCCCACACACTGGGGGGCTGGGGGGGAGCAGGTCAGAAGGGGCACTGGGCTGGGACTGGCCATTGATGTTTACAAATGGGTCCTGGTACAAAAAAGGTTGAGAACCGCTGCTTTAGTCGATTCAAGGAAGAACCCCAAGGACTTTTCAATGCTGAGCATGTGAAGAAGGGTCTCTGTGGCAGGGCACCTTTGGGTGCCTGCCACTTTAAGGGCAGAGGCAGGCAGCTACCAGGTACCTGATGAGGGCAGCCATTTTGAACACAAGGCATACAAAGGCTGCAGTTTGCTGTAGCTAGGGAAGGCAGAATCATCACTCAGCTGAGCTGCAGCAGGAACAACCTTGGAGGTAATGGCAGGAGCTTATGGGGATGGTTTGGAGGCTCCTGGTCCTGGGCATGACCTAAAACTGCACCCTGCTGGGGAAGGGTGGCCTGGTGAGGCTCCTGATGGTGCAGGAGTCCCCAGGAAATGCCAGGCCACTTACCTTCCCGATAAGAGGCAAGTAGGGGTGCCTTAACTCCAGCCCCCATCTTGGGGTGGGTTTTGGAGGCAGCTGTAGAAGTAGTGGGGGCCAGGTATGCCCATGTGTAGGTGCCTGAACCCAGCAGGAATATGAGGTCCCGGAGACCCCAGAGGGGGTAGTACATTGGGAGGCCCCGCACAGAGTAGTGTTGAAGTGTGAGTAGGCCGAGTAAAGCTGTGTGTGTGAGGGGGCTGAGTAGGGCTGAAGTGTGAGCAGGCCTGAAGGACAGCCCAAGGGGCATGCTGAGTAGGGTCGAATGGGAGTAAACTTGAAGGACAGCACAAGGGCCAGCCCCATGAGAAGTTGTGCCCGGTGAGAGGCTTGGGGCAGAATTAGCCCAGGGTTTGGCATAAAGCTGGACCACACAGAACAGGGGAACTCGCAGGAACCAAAGGTTCTGCGTGGTGAGGCCAGTATGAGCATAGCAAAGCCTGGTGGCCCAAGAGGGGCTGCTCAAAGAGAAGCAGGGCAGCGGAGTGTGGCCTGGTAACAGGCAGTATGCCAGAGGCCCTGGTGAGACAGGGGTGGAGTGGAAGAGGCCTCCTGTGAAAGGGGAGGTGGTGTGTGTGTGGAGCCCAACTTTGGACTCAGTTTGCTCCGGTCTCAGACTGGGATTAATGTTAAATTAGATGCCGTCTGCAAGGCATGGGCTGTGGTGTAGGGGAGGAACAGAGCCACAAATAGCACCCCTTGGCATTGGGGCATGTAATGGGCAGTCTCCCATATTGACCATCAGTTTGTAGGAACAGCAAAGTCATGGCAGGGGGACCGGGTGGATTGCCCTGCAGCAACAGGTGGGCAGGCCGACATAAGACCCAGCCCTGAGAGATGCCCCCTGTTACAGTCTCCCCAGAGCAGGTATGGCTGAAAGGGACTAAAAGCACTTGTCCAGTCTAGTGGGGGCCAACCTTTTTGGCAGGAGTGCTACAAATTATCCCTACACTGTCCCCAGATGCCACTCTGATTCCCTTCCCCTTCCTGTTCTGTTCTTTCTGCTCCAAACTATGCTCCCTGTCTGATCTGCTGCTCTGCTTCCTTCCCTGTGCTCCTTGCCTGATTTGCTGTTTTCTGCCCCCTGCCTTACTCACTGGTTTGCTGCCTGTCTCCTCCCTGATCTGCTATGTACCACACTGAGAAGCTGCCTGTGCCACTTGTGAAACTTGTGCTGCAGGTTGGTCACCCCTGATCTAATCTATCTACCTGTAGTGAGGGGGCCTTCCTTATAGAAGTATGTCTAAAACTGCGCTTATAAAAAAAATTCCAGAGAAGTTGATTTTTACAAGCTCCTTTGGCTGTCTGTTCCAGTGCCTCACTACCCTTTTACTTGGAATTTTTTTCCTAGTATTTGCTGCAAATAAAGCCAATTTGTTCTTGTCAAATCCCTAGTATATGTGTAGGACAATTAAACACTGTCATCTTTTTGACACAGTTTGGTATACTGTAAGGCCCCCTCTGGTCTCAGTCTCCCTCCCTGCCTTTTTAGATGTAACACAATCGCTGTACTTCAGCTGAGGCCTCACCAGTGCTGATTACAACAGAACAAATGCTTTCTGAATGTTATGTATGACATTCCTATCAATACATTCCAGAATTAAGTTTTCCTTTTGTGTTGCAACAGCACATTGTTGACTGATTGTTAATTTGTGGTCCACTATAAACTCTGAATCCCTTTCTGTGAACTGTCATTTTTAATTGTGCACTTGATTTCTCCTTCCTAAATGCTGTGCTCTCCATTTCTTTAGTGATTTTCATTTTGTTGCAATTTAACAAGATCATGTTGAATTCTGATCCTGTCCTCCAGAGTAACTGCAAGTCCTTCCAGCTTGTTGTCATCCACAAATTTTAGTGTTGTATCTTCAATTTTGTCATCCGAAGTAGTAATAAAAAAATGAATAGAGCCTGGCCCACAAGAGATCTTTGTAAAATCCCACTTGAAAAGCTCTCTCACTATAACTTCAAACCATAAGTAATCTATGTGCATCCTTTTTCAGATAATTGTGCACTACCAATTTCAGTGTTTCAGTATTTCCCTAGCTTGCTTCTTAAAATGTTATGTGGGAGGCCCTGTTTAAAGCCTTCATAAAGTTGAGATGTATCATATATACAGTCTCCCCCCCATCTCCCCTCCCCCATTTGCAAGGTCAGATACCCTGTCAAAGAAGGAAATAAGCTTGGTATGACATGAACACAGTTTGTTCTTGTCAAATTCAAGTTGGCTGTTATTTTCCACCTTGGCTGGTCTTCTAGGGCCCAGATCTTAATTGACCTCTACAGTGCTTAAACATTACTTGTGAGATTTAGGAAACAGGCCACAAAGACTGATCTAGTTCAACCCCACTCAGAGGCCACACCACCAGTGAGGTGGCTAAATGCATCCACTGCTTCTATTTTGGCCTGCAAGAGATCACCAGGTGCCTAGACTTAGGCTGCTGTGTACGCTCCAAAGTAATCCAGACTGGTCACTTAAGTGCCTCACTTCCAACTAAACTCTACTGTAATACCAATTTTCTATGAGACACATGAACAGCAGCTAGGTCCTCAATTCCACAGAGATGGCCAGATCATATCAAGCAATTGTGGCTGTGAATATGCTCAACAGCTTAAAAATAAATGGTGAAGGTGGCAACATCCAACTTTTGATTTAATAATCTAGTGGGTAGAGCACTTGCCTAGGAAATAAGAGATCTGGGTTCTAGGTTGACCTAGGGCTGAGAGGCGTTAACCCCCTATCTCTTGCAGAAGAGTGTGCTAAGGAGCAGGCTGCTGGCAAGGGTTGACTGGGGCTCTGATACCTCTCCTTACTGATGCTGGTCCACTCGACAACCAAATAGTGCAAGAGTCATGAAGCTGGAAGCAATGCAAGCAAAAGGAAGTGAGTTCTGGTCTCTCTGCCAAAATTGCTTATGCACATTACATTAGACCATCACTGGCTTTAGAAAAAAAAACCCCCAGAAATAATTCTGGCAGCAAATGCTATGATTGGGCCAAAATAGCCGCTAGGTGCCCAGACAGAGTAAAATTCAGACAGTTCAAGAAGCCAGTTTTATGGAAGGAAGGCAAGTAAAGATATATAAACTAGATGAAGCAAAGAGCTTTGGATCAAAATATACTTCAAATCCTAGACAGCCAAAGTGTCAAGGGAATGTATGATTGTTTAAAAAGATTCCAAAGAGAGATGCTAAAATGCAGAGTCCAAGGTCTACAAAGTGAAGATCTCCAAAAATGAAGGGCACCAAATCACCAAGCAAAAATAATCTGTCTAGTAGTAGAAATAAAGGCTGACCTGCTGCTCCAATTTCCTCTAAGTCTTTTAGTTGCTAAAACCAGTTTTTAGTAGGATTCCTAAGTTGAAGGCAAATCCAACACAACAGAAGAGGATATTCAAACAAGATAAACTCTGAGCAATTTGAAAAGCTGAAGTAAGAGCTGAAGAAATGCAGTTTCTTCACTGACCATAGCCCAAACAGAACCGATGGGGAGATTCCAAAGTCAGCAATATCTTGGGTAGCATTTGCTCACCAATGATGAAGGAAGTCACCCATGTCCAACCTACTACCTGTGATTTTTAGGAACCATTATGGAATTCAATCTCTTGTAATTTGGAGGACCATAAATTATAGAATTTTGAGAATTCAACCTCTCTCTTACTATAGAGAACACAGACAAATGAAGTCTTACCTAGGCAACATATTTAGAAAAGTATTCTGTTACATGAAATTAAACATTTGACAAATATTACATTGGATATGTGGTTTTAGGTTATAAGAACCCTTTGCCATGTTGGTCATGGGAACACTCACCTCCCATTTTTGTCATTTTCTTAAACAAAGGAAGGGATGGTCTGTCTGCAAAAACTTCACTTTGATGAACTAGGCATTCTTTTATTGCGTCATATCCATTCAGTACAATAGCAGATATACCTCCAAGATCAAGACTGAAGATCTTTAAAAAGAACACATTAAGAAAAAATCACTTATAACATTCATTTGCAAGTCTGCTCCATGATGATGTTATGAAACCACATAACAAAAGAGTGGAACATCAAAACAATAAAATAGTTGCTTAAATTGGTGATGTCAAGCTCAAATCGGTTGCCAGCAGCCAGGGGGTTAATGCTATCACAGTTTCCAGTCACTGACAACTGCTGAATTTCATTGCCAGGGGCAAGAAAAAATATTAAATTCAGTGACAGAATAAGAGGTGAGGTGACCCATATTAATTCCCTGGGTGCTCTGTGGCCAATCAACTGATCTGAGTTCCTGAGAACTCCATACCTGGGAACTAGCTCTGCTCATGCAGAGAGCCTGAACAGAACTACTGCAAGCCCAACTGGCTCTTCTGGGAGGGAATATGCTGCATTACAACCAGCCCAATTCCCTGCTATGGCAAGCCCACTGGCTGAATGACCCACCTCCTTGAGCCAGATCTATCCCTTGGGATGTATGTTGACACCGCTGACTCATTCTGTGTATACAGGGAATAATTCTTCCGGGTTTGTTTTCCTAGTAGAAAAACTTAACACATAGCAGAGCTAGCCCAGGTGGTGCAGTCCGTAACTGCCACCACGGTGTTCTGCAAGAGGCTGAACCCTGCCCAGGACACCCCACATCACGTTCTCCCTGTGTCTGTTGGCTCGGCCCTAGGAGAGGAGCAGAGCGGCACCCAGCCAGTTGCAGATACAACAGGAACAACCCTGCCAGAAGCTGCGTGTGCTGGCTGGGGCCCAGGCTGGTGGGCCTGTTCTGCTCCCCACGCCTCCAGCAGTGGCTTCTGCTCCTGCCCCTGTGTGCCAACCTGGGCGGGTGGGGTGGGGTGGGGGAAAGGGAAAGGGAAGCTTCAGCTATATGACTTCTGCTCCAACTTGTGGGGCTCGGGCTCTGGCTCCAGGTCCTGGCCACCTTCTATCCACACTCCACCCACCTCTAGGTGACTGCTCGTTCCACTGGGCAGGTGGAAGGCAGCTGGGAGCTGGGCTAAGGCTGGAGCTGCCTAACTGAAGCTCCCTCTGGCTTGGAGAGGAACAGCAGGGGCAGGAGGAGGAGCAGGAGCAAGAGGAGGAGCTGCAGCTGGAGGTGAGGCAAGGAGAACACCCCAGCCAGCCAGGGCCTGGACTCCAGCCAGAGCATGTAGCTTCCAGTGGGGCTGTTCCTAGTGTAGCTGCAGCCAGCCAGGTGCTACTCTGCTCCCCTTGCCTCCAGCAGTAGCTCCTGCTCCTGCCTTTGCTGTACTGCTCTGGGTGTAGCGGGGGAAGCTTCAACCCAGCAGCTCCCCCTAAGTGTGAGGGGAGCACAGCAGCACCATTGGAAGCTGCTTGCACTAGTCAGGGCCCAGGCCAGGGGAGCACAACATAGACTGCCCTGGCAGGAGTGAATGGAGCTCAGCCCCATGTCAAATGCCGTAGGAGCAGCCACAGGCTGTATCCAGTCAGTTTCATAGTTTCTAGGGTTGGAACGGACCTGGGAAGATCATCTAGTCCGACCCCCTGCCATGG